GGCCTCGTGTGTCCGAGCGCTTTAAATAACATTGCCGTAAAACGTAGCGTTTCCTCGTAACGCTGCGTTTCCTCGCAGTTACAAAGTTTGCTTCATTTATAGGCATGCGGGATTATAGTGGAGCTGATCAAAAGCAAGAAAATGGCTGGCAGAGCTGTGCTGCTGGCAGGACCTCCGGGAACCGGCAAGGTGATGTTCTCCTTTGATGTGGGGTGAAGCATCCCTGAATTGCTTTAATTCAATTTGTTCTCAAAACTGTAATATGATAATAGTTGCATGAGATTTCCTCTTGAGATGAAAACTCTCTGGAGATGGTTTTTCTTTTTGATAATTGTATTGTTTCTTGCCTGATACTCAGATTTTTGCCCTGTCATCAACAGTACCGGTGGTGTCTCCAGGGATCTTTAGTATGAAATAATCTTGCACAGATTACCAAGCACACGTTTAATGTCAAATCTGTGGAAAAGTCTTAGAAATTATTTTAGCATTAAAATCCTTAAAAGTTTTATCCTATTTTGTTTTCTTTTTTTTTTTTTTTAAGGCTTACTGCCTTTTGCACCAGATGCCAAATTCAAATGTCTGGTGTTGTTTTCTTAAAGAGTTTTATAAATCTGTGGTAAAAAGTACTTTGCATGTGTTGAATTTGCTTGGGGCGGGGAAGTCGGAGGAGTGGGTATGTCAGACAAAACAGGCTTAGTGCTCAAGTAATGATTAGAATGAAATAGGGTGTGATGCACAAAGTTGACGTGGAGAAAGAATTCCTTTTTCTCATGGAGAGATTCAGTGCGTACATTTGTTTTCTCTCTTTCTTTTTAAGACTGCTTTGGCTTTAGCTATTGCTCAGGAACTGGGGAGTAAAGTTCCTTTTTGTCCTATGGTTGGAAGTGAGGTGTATTCCACGGAGATCAAGAAAACAGAAGTCCTGATGGAAAACTTTCGGAGGGCAATTGGTAAGTTTTAGAGAAGAGGAAAAAAATAAAAAGGAGAATTAAGTATTTGTCTGGTTCGAGTTTGTGTTTTGTCCAGTAATCTAAAAAACAAGAGCTTATAAGTGGTCTAAGTGGGGTTACATCACTGTTTGCTCTTCTTTTCAGTGCTCATCTTAATTGGGTGAATCTCTTCCACGCCTAGTGGAATTTACAATGTTTTCTGCATATGAAACATAATTCCATCATTGTGTCCCACAATTATTTTGGTTCATTCTTCTCCAGACTGCTCTCATCTTCCAGGTTCATTTCTTGGTTTTGCCTGGGGATCTCAAAAAAGCTAAAATAAAAGCTGAAAAGCTATTTAGTTTGTGTGTGTGTTAACAGAAATGTTTTTAGTAGTATCATAGTACTAAGCAAGGACTTCCAAATGGCAGTGTCCAACCTGACTTACTATTCACAGGAGCGCAGAGAGAGTTTGATGCCAGCAAAATAGATAACTTAATATCTTCCTCAGTTCTAGGAGGAAGATGCAAGGCTTTTACAAACTTTGTGCAAGTTGGTTAAATTTGCAACACAAGCTCACTGAGTATCTAAAATCTTGTTCATGATTGCTGCTGACAGCTGATAAATGCAGTTAGAAGTGGACCTTGTTTTACGAGAATTGCCTAAAGATAACCTAATTGATTTTAGTACTGAACATATTAACAGCTAATTTTCTTGGCTTCTGTATTATGCCCCTGCCCCCCCTTAAACTTCACCTAAGTTTTTGGTGGCAGGATGATAAAGAAATCTCTCAGTGGTACAAGAAAGTAAAGAAAGTAAATTTCAGTAGTCTCTGGTCTTCTAGTTACCCTGAATCTGGCAGGGCCTGGGGGAGGGAAGCTAAAGACTGAATAGTCTGCAATATTTCCTTGATGTGATGAAGTTCCCTGTCAGAGATTTTGAAACTTGAACCAACAGATGAAACTTATGCCATCTGTGTTGTCATTTCTGGAGAGAGCAGTGTTTTAACCCTCTCCTAGTTAACAGCCAGCTACATTGTTAGTTCCCTGCATTCCCTGAATGTCAGTAGAGAGGAACTTCTAAATAAATACTGGTGTTAGTGACAGATGGAACTTTGCATTCCTTTCTGCTGAATTCTCTGTCACATTTTCATAACACAACCTTTATTAAAAAACAGAAACTCCAAAATATTTTAAGACTAATAAGCACTTTTTTGGTAATGAAACACTTCCAGTCATTTTTAAAATTTATCATTTATGTTTCAGTTTCATTGCCTGACAAATAAATAATTTAAAGGGGGAAAGGGGTTCTGAATTTTACAGAATTTTCTGAAAAATTCTGTGTGCACATTGCAACATCAGCTGTGACTGGGTTCGAGAGAAATTCCAATTAACATATCAATCAGTACCTAATGTACTGAGTTAGTTTATATATCTTTCTGTATTACTCCTTTTCAGCAAGCTGTGCATTCCTCATGTATTGCTCATATCATGCATTTTGCTTTCGGGTGGTATATCCACCTCGGGTTACAAATATGATTGGGGTGATAACATCAATGTCTCGTGTAAAACTTTTTTTCTTGAAAGCAACAAATTTTGGCAGGTTTGGACCCATTGCTGTGTAAGAAAACAGGGGTTACTCAGAGTTTACTAAAATTCTTGACCTTGATAACAGTAAATCTCCAGACAAGGTATTTGTCTTCTTTCATATAGATTTTCATTGCCAGTTTAAGAAATGTTTTATCAGATTTATTATTGTTGGGAGTCTTTTGATAGTAGACTGGACATAACTGCCAGGCACTGTTTGGGTGTAATAGAGAGTTTGTGATATGTAAGAAACATAAAAAGAGCAGGAAATGAAAATATGGAGTTGTCATACAGGTTAAAAATAGAGAGTGATTAATACTGCATAGAGCTTATTAGCAGCTGGCAAGATGTTGACAGTAGCTAATGTTAGAGCTCAGTTGCAGTAAAAAATAACTACTGGAATAGCCGCTTAAATACCATATCTGTTCCCTGTATCTCCAAACTGTATCTGCCAGTAAATCAAACGAGCACTATTTAACTCCATATAGTGCTGCTGAGCCAAACCATGAAATATCCCACAATCTCCTCCTCAGACTCATGCTTCTGGTTTGTAAGGAAGAAAGGTTTTTGTTAGTTACAGAGCTCTTTGGAAATGAAATTCATAGCTGATACCTGCAGATTTATCTGAAAAAAATCAGCATTGATTACCTGTGTTCAAATCCTGTTCATCTGTAATTAACTTTTATGGACACATCTACGTGAGTGCATCAGTTCAGATCAGAGTTGGGCTTCTGAAGCCAATTCCTAAGCTCTCCCTCTCAACTTTGGTTTACATTGTGGAGCAGAATCAGGCTATGTGACCTGGATTCTTTTCAGATGAATGAAACTGGAAGGTAGGTACACTTTAGAAGGGTCTTGCAAAATACCTTCCAAATGCAAGGACAGTGGGGCAGGGGGGACACAAACCTGTGAAGGTCCAGTTCTTAGCACTTGCTGAAGATGCATGATGTTGCCTGTGTGATGCAGCATTAGTCTAGGTCAATTATGTAATTCAGAGATTTTTTTTTTCCGGATATTTTGGCATACATGGAAAATATTTTAAAATTCACCATAACTAATTTATATAACAGTTTTTCATTAAATGCCGGATAGAAAAATGAAACCTTGCTTACCGAGAAACTGTCACATTATTCACAATTAACCTATTTCTCACATTTCAAATCCTGTCCTTAATTTGGGTCCAGTAGAGGGAGACAGACTTGGTTTTGTCAGTCCTTTATATTTGGCTATCAGCAGCTCAAGATTACTGGTGAAGTGTCTGATCTATTTCAAAGCAAAATGACGAGTTATGAAACAAGGAAAGTTTTATAAAGTCCTAATAACCTCAGACTGTGCAGGATGACTTCCTTATATCTTGTTACAGCTCATTCATTATTTTTGGTATGGCATGTGTGTCTCATAAAATACTGACTTTATAGAGGCTCTTCAGATGTGGATTCTTTGAACTTTCTTGTAGTTGGACCCTCTGCATAACTGTAGTGGTAGTGATGACAGTGGCTTTCCTTTGGAACACTCTAGCCATAAAACTCTTTTCAGCTCTGTATTAGTTATCAATTTAAAATAACCTAATTAGTTGACTATAAGAGTTTGAACTAGACTAGAAAATACTTAAATACTTAGATTTCTCAACCATCTCAAAAGCTCCAAAGTAAGAAGGTCACTGTCAGCTATTTTGAAATAGTTTTATATTTGGACTGTAGCAGATTTTAAACTTTATTTAGTCCATCTTTTGCTATTAACTAGAAAAAATATTTTAAATAAATGGTAGTTTTTTCTAAAGAAGTTCTAATACAGTACTTACTAATCAATTTATGTTATATTTAGCTTAGCTGACAAAAATTTAAGTTTTTGTGAAATTACTTTTTCTTTCTGTCCTTCCCCCCCCCAATCATTTGTCCAGGCTTTTCTGAGGGTAGGTAAACTGCATTAGATTCCCTGTTACTGATCTTTAGTTTTAGGATTTGGATGAACTGCTTTTCTGTTTCTAATGTAGCTAAACAAGTCAAGCAAATCCTCTCTTTTGGAGAAACAAATCAGGGAAACTTTTTTGAGGATGGAGAAAAGTAGAGATATTGACATTTGTTTCAAGAACTAATAAGAAATATCAGAAAAAGAAATTCTTATAGCTAAATAAATTACTTTGCAGGTCAGCACATGAGAACTTTTGTTCTCATAACATGATTTGAATAATCTCACCTAGAATAGAACCATCATTTATGTTTCCGCTTTAAGAAACATGAAGAAATACCACCAAATGTATTAAAACTTAGTAATATGTTATATTCTGATGGCATTAATGAAGAGGACTTCTAAGTGAGAATAATTACATGTATTATGGGCAAAGATTTGTGTATTGAAACTGTTACCCTAAACAATTCTTTGCAGGACTGAGGATTAAAGAGACCAAGGAGGTTTATGAAGGAGAAGTCACAGAACTAACTCCATGTGAGACTGAAAATCCTATGGGGGGATATGGCAAAACCATCAGCCACGTAATTATAGGACTCAAAACTGCAAAGGGAACAAAGCAGTTGAAGGTCAGTATGCAAAGTGTTCCTTCAGCATTGCAGATCTGCATGTCTGTTTTTGTTTGTTTTAGCAGCTTGCGTTTCCATTTTAAGCTCTTGATACTCATCTCTTTAGAGAGCGGATGCCAGGAGCTTCTTTCTTTTACTAGACACTATCGTGCCTCTGGGCACATGTGGTTGTTCACTGTGTCTAGAATATTTAAATGTTGGTCTCGTCTCCTCCTCATTGCACTGTGGGTGCCTGTAGTTCAGGTGGGAGTCCCTTTTCTCTCTCTGTTTGTTCACAAGCACACCCTGGTGTGTCTGCAGTGAGTCAGGGCAGTGGAAGAGTCAGGCAGGAAGGGCTCCCGAGCAGTTTGCAGCGTTGCTAACACCACGGAACAAAGGGGCTGCGTTGAGAAGCTGAACTGTGACCAGGCTCTGATGTGTTTGTGCTGACTGCAGCTATAACTTCCTGCTCATTATAGCAATTGTATAAGAAAGCTCATTTAGATATATTTTTCTGATACTGCACTGTATTTTTGAGGATAGTTTCAGTAAAACTTGTCCACTTTGTTATAAAATATTCTTTCTGTCACATCCCTTTCTGTGTGGGCAGATATGCTTTACTGAATATGTGATGGAAAACTAGAAACTGAGCTGGTGCATTGCCAGCTCAGACCTGCTTTACTGTTGTTTTCTTGTACAACTCTCTCTCCGTGTTGTTTAATTTCCCTGTCACTGAAACGAGCATGAGAGAACTGAGAGCTGTCTGTTAAGTATCAACTTGCATATGATCACTCTGAACACTCAAAAATGCAGGGTAAAAATGAACAAACACTTAAGAGAAAACAAAAGTATCTTGTGTATTCCACGTTGTGTTGCTCTGCCTTGCACAACTCCACTGAGGATTCACACTCTTCAAGTAGCGTGATCTGCTCTAGAAGCAAGAGCCCAATATTCTTTTTTAATTAAAACTTACTGGAAAGCAACAGAAATGCCACATCTTATGTATGAATGCATTGCCACATTATATGAAGGCAAGCTTTATGATAGTGACTAGTGTCTTTTTTGTTGTTGTTGTTTTTGGTTTTTTTGCACTTCCATCATCTCTTTCATATAGCATATATTTTCTGTAAGAAAAACAGTTTTCTGCATCTTCTTTCATGTTTTACAATAAGTCTTACTCTATTGCTACTCCAAGTGTTTGAGCTTTATAAAATCCTAGATTTTTTATGGAGGGTAATTTTAATTTTGTCTGATGGAAGGGACCTTTAGACTAAATTTCTTTTCCTCAATTACCATAATAATATGGAGCAGTTCTGATTAATGGTTAATTTTACTTGCTTCCAGCTGGACCCAAGCATATTTGAAAGCTTGCAGAAGGAGCGAGTGGAAACAGGTGATGTTATTTACATCGAAGCAAACAGTGGAGCTGTCAAGGTAAAACCAAAAATAATTCTGCAGTTCCACACAGGTTGATGTATTCTTGCAGATTTTTCTCTCCTTTTGCCTGAAGGCCCTCTGATTTGTTAACCTTAGTTGACATGGCATCGTTGCATGGAAGTTTTTTAAAAAGCACAATGTTTTCCTTATCTGAAGAGAAAAATATCTCTTGCACCAAAAGAACGTGGTCATCTTGTTCACAATTAAGGTCATCTGGCAAGGAAGCTATCACTGATGCTGCCTGGATGAGTTTTCTTACTGTAAGATCAAGACATCTTTAGGGGAAGAGGGGGAAAAAAAGCCCAAGCAACTTTAGTCATTTTCAGGCTGACATGTGCAGTATATTTAATCTTTCTTTTATCTTTCTGGTATTTTCTCCACAAGATATATACATGTAGAAAGGAATACTGCATTAGTTAGCATTCTTTTCATATCTGATTTAAAATGTAGTGTACAGCGATACTTGCTGTTTAATGGATGAGCATAATATTTTGTATCATATAATAAATCACCCACCTACAAAGAAGTCTTGAACAGTCCTTCCAATCTCTAGTTAATCTGCTGGATTTGTCCTTTAGCAAGAATTGCATACAGTTAAAAGGGGAGAAGAGAGTGGAATATTCTTACTACTGAAAATATCAGACATTTTTCAACAGCTGTTTTTTTGAGCTTTGATCAGTAGACAGGATATGCCTGTTGCTAAGCAAGAAATGGGGAATCTGAACTGACAATAGAATTGTGAACCAAGTTCCTTTATCAAATTTGTATCTTTTGAGGTTTTTGCGTTGCATCTAATTCTATACCTGGGTTTCTTCCTTGCTCTTCCTCAGAGGCAAGGCAGATGTGACACGTATGCGACGGAATTTGACCTTGAAGCTGAAGAATATGTTCCCTTGCCAAAAGGTGATGTGCACAAGAAAAAGGAAATTATTCAGGATGTCACCCTGCATGACTTGGATGTGGCCAATGCTCGACCTCAGGTATCTGACTCCGCAGATTAAGTCTTTACAGAAGAGCTCTTTGACAGAGATGAAATGGAGAGTTAGAATGAGGAGATCCTAAATCATTACAAAGAGATTACTGTAGGAAAAGCAGTGGATCTTGCCTTGAAAGCTAGTCTGTGTCCCTTGCTGTTTGTGTGAAGGACCTGTTGCAGTTGACTACAGCAGTGGCCTTTCCATACGTATTAGAGAGGCCATGGAAGGGAAATCAACCCTGCAAGAGTGTTGATAAATGGTTGTTAACTTTTGACTTTGCTGTAGGTTCTGTTCATGTCCCTGCATCCTTCATAAGCATTTCAAAATTTCTCATGAAACTCCCTTGTGACCTTTTTTTCAGTAGAGCTGTGCACCTACTGCCGGAAGAAATGGAAAATAGAATTACTGCTTGCAGTACCTTAATATAAACCCAGTATTGAGGAAACTCCACTTCTGTTATAAACAAAATTCAGTAATATCCCAACCCCTTAACCTACTACATTCCAAAATAAACATCCTTTTTCAAACAAAATCACATGATAAAATCAAGGATAAATGTGCCTGTGTTGGCAGATTAACAGTTACTGTACAAGGAGGCAATCCCAAGCCTCTCTTGCCTGACCCTGTTAGTTCTTGTGAGCCTCTCTGGCACACAAATAGATGGATCTTTAAGAAGATATCTCATTTTGGTCTCTTATGTCCTGCAAGTGAGGAAGCCTAAAGAAGGGTGAAGAGGTAAGTAAAGTGACTGGACCCTGGATAAGTTATCAACCTTGGCTGAAACAAACTACCAGCTTTTTGATATATATATATATATATTATAACATGCTTGTTCAGATGGTGTCTTCACTGTGAGACTTCATAGCTGATCTGTAACTTTCTTTTCCTAGGGAGGACAAGACATCCTTTCTATGATGGGACAACTGATGAAGCCTAAGAAAACTGAAATTACTGGTATGAATCCTAATCATATTTCTTTTCCAACATAACCTATATGCTTGCCAATTAGAAGGGCATTAAAATGGTGTCATTCATGCAGCATCTCTAATGATGAATGTCTTCATAACATTTATTAATAAATTTTCAAATTTCATAGAGCAGTGATTTAGCTTCTGGAATTGCAGCAGCTAGGGGCAGTAACACCATAATATTTTTACGCATGTAGTGATACTTCATGTACTGCACACAAGGAGAAAGAGGTGAGAATGCTAGTGCCACCCTCTTCTCAAAATACTGCTGTCACAATGTGCACGGTTCACGTTTCCTACAGAGAGCCAAATTGAGCAACAACAAAATAAAAAAACATCCTTTGCATTCTTACATGAAGCAACCAGGCAGTATCTCTGTGGAGTACAAAAACGGCTCCTAGAGACTCCAATATTGGTTTGGTTTTGCATTGACTTCTCCATGCCAGCTGCCTGTCAACTTAAAGCTGTACACAGCTGCTCTGCTCTCCTATAGATCATTGAAGAAAAAAGATCTACAGAAAGATCTATTCTCTCTTTTGTTATGAAAGAAAAGGTGTTTCAATAAGTGACTAATTAAATTCAGATCAAAGTCTATTTCAATACTTAAGTTGAATGGTGCTGTGAAGTATTTCTTTTGTTCCAGAGGTCACTTGGGCTATTCTAAAGTCAGACTTACAGCATCTTTCATGGCTTTGAGATCCCTATGTTCACAGAAATTTTACAAGGCTGTATATTTTTTTGCATAACTACAACCATTTTGCTGAAATACAGTAGCACTTTATCTTTTTAGTCATCTTCTTTTCAGTCATACTTGGAAACTTTGTTAAACTGGTGTTTGACTGACTTTCCTACCACCACTATTATTCCATGGGTAACATGAGTGAACAAATGATCCTACTTAAGTGCTCCAATACAGGAGTGAAACCATAGGGGTGAGGTCAACTTCCAATGGCCATTGGATTTTAATGTCACAGAGATTTGCCTTCAAGGGCAGTAAGATAACGACACGTAAGAAAATTTAAGGGGGCATTTTGTCTTTAAATATTTCATGCACATCTAAAGATATTGTTCACAAGCACAACAGCTGACATACCTTATTTTGATTCTGACAGACAAACTTCGAGGAGAGATCAATAAGGTGGTAAATAAATACATTGATCAAGGCATCGCAGAGCTGGTCCCAGGTGTGCTCTTTGTAGATGAGGTTCACATGTTGGATATTGAATGTTTCACATACCTGCACCGAGCCCTGGAATCTTCCATTTCCCCCATTGTCATCTTTGCTTCCAATCGAGGAAACTGTGTTATCAGGTAAGATGTCTGCAAGTGAATTTTCCAGTTTGCATTGTTGCTAAGCCTTAGCTAGGTGTATCAGCAGAAGAAGTTAGGATCTTTGACAGCTTTTTGTCTTCAATGCTGACATCCGTGGTACTCTCCTGCACGGGTAGTGTTGGTACTTGAAGGCTACATCTGAGCTTTGTAAGAGAGCAGCATTTAATGCTCATGGGGCTGAGTTAGAGCAAAATGGAGCTGTCTCCTGTTTGCTCTGACAAAATCCCTCTTCTTTTAACAGCCTCCAAACCATCTATTTTGTGGGTGTTCAGTTACCATTACCTTTCTCGCTGGATATCTTCAACACATCTTCTGTCTGAGCACGAGGAACATGCAAAACTGCTACAGACTTCTAATATCAGTTTTCTGCTTTTTCTGGATCCTCTCACTATCTCCTGTCTTTGTTGCCTCAGAATCAACTTCAGCTTCTTCTTCTTACTGTTAAAGCCCATCAAAATTTAGCCTCTTCTCACTCATCATTCTTTCCTTCTCTACTGTTTCTTCTCTACTTCAGTTCATACCCCCACTTGGCATTTTGCACCCAAACCATACATTTTCAGTAAAAATTCTCACCTCTTTCAAGCTGGTACTTAACTTCTACTACTAATTTGTGGTCTAGACCTCATTCCATCTAAACAAGCTGTCATTAGCAACCATTGCTCCTCTTTAAATTGGTTTAACTCAGCTGTGTAACCAGCAATTTGTTTTTCTCTTACTGACTCACCTGATAGTAATCCTTCTCTGTTTTCATTGCTTCAAAGTCAGGGTGATAAGCCCTTTAAAGACATTTAAAGTGGACATGGTGGTGCTGTCTTGGCCAATTCATGAAATGGCCTTATTATAAAAGGAGAGTCAAGAGAACTGTCAGCATGGATTCACTGCTCGTTGTGTCATGAGAAACCTGTGATTTATGAAAGGATTATATTTGTACAGTAGTTCTATCTAATGTTGGTAAGTTAAGTAAGTCCTTCAAAAGCAAAGAAGTGCTTAACTATGTACTACTAAATCAAGTGGTTGGAGATGCTCTGACCTGCCTGCTGATGGCTCTTAAAAGGCTTAGGAAAGAGGCTTAGCTGCGTGTCCAGTACGCTTAGTTGTGTGACCTGTTAAGAGAAGGAATCTCTCTGGGGGACAGAGCACCATCTCCTGGAGAGCAGAGCACGAGAGCATTGCAGGGCATTTATTGATTCTTTTCCCAGAGAAGACCCAAGAATTGTAAAAGAGCAGGTGTGTTAGTTACTGATTTTAATCAAATGAAAGCACTGAACTCAGAATAGGATCTGATCTCTTTCTGTTTGGTTTCTCCTTTAGAGGCACAGAGGATATAATATCTCCTCACGGAATACCCCTGGACTTGCTGGACAGAGTGATGATTATCCGAACCATGCTGTATACCCCCCAGGAAATGAAGCAGGTAGGCACCACGTTTAGAAACAGAGCTCCTAAACCCCCGTGGGGTCTCCAGGGATAGCTGGTGCCTCTCTGGGTGAGCTGTTACTGCAGAGCTGTTTGACTGTGCATGCTCAGCATGGTGTGTGCACGGAAGCTCAGCAATTCCTAAATGTATGGTGGTTTAGTGGCTATTCAAAAAACCAATTTAAAATTGCAAATGCAGTTTGTTTTAGTGTCTGACTTCCACCCACCTCATGATTTGTTTGGTAAACTTGTCTGGAGCTGAAAGTGGCCTCTCACTTGCATGTGACTGTGAATTCTTAGCCCACCTTCTCTCTTAAACTGATACCCCTCCCAAGGAGTCTGCAGGTTGCTCTTCCAGTTGCTGCAAGAAAGTGTTGCAATTCAGGATCTTCGATTGCAGACTTTGGGTTGTTTCTCCACCTAAGAGACAGGAGGGACTATACAATACGAATTGATGTCTGTGCTGCATATTTTGCCGCCCCTGTTCTGCACTGTAGCTTTTACTAGGTAGTCTGTCTGCTGAAAGCACGAGGTAAACGTTTTGCATGTTCCTAGTCAAGTTTGGCAATGTAAGCACAGAGAATGCTGCAGAGATACACTTGTGAGTGCCGGAAACTTTTCCTGTGGGGCATCCCAGCGTATCGTGTATCGATCATAACGCTCGGGCGCCATTACGCATCGAGTCAAAGATCCCCCTCATTAGCGTCTCAATGCTGGGAAGTGACACAATGCAGGAGCCATCACGGTTTATCATGTCAATTCTTTGTATTATTTAAGAGATAGTGTCAATGGAGGAGAGCCTTGTCACAAGATAATAGTCTCCTGCTGCTGGATAAGTGCCAAGGTGAAGCCGAGGCGTTTATCGAATATCCACGGAGTGGCAAAGCTTCATTTCACAGGGTTTGAGGAGCTTTTCGCATCCTCCTCTCGTGAGCCATGCTCTGGGTGATTTTCTGTACCTAAAAGGACACTTCAAAACTACTTTGGGAGAGATTACAGTGGAAGCAGCCAAGGGATTTAATAAGATGATGATGTTTTGTCTGTGTACAAAACCAACTTTAAAGTGTCACCGGAGATTTTGAAGGTTGTTGTCTGGACTTCCCCAAAATGTGTTTTGATTTTGAGTAGTTAGAGTAGTGAGAATATGTACTCTGATTTACTTTGTTAAGTTTATATATATATATATATATATATATATAGTACACACACGCATATATATACACATATAATACTTAGCTAGTGTGCTGTGTTACCGTGCCAGATCGTTACAGAGCTCGTTTGCAAACTGTTCATTTTCAAATGAGCTGGGTAAATGTTGTGATCTCCACCGTTCTTCGCCAGTGAGGGAAGGATTTGTTTGCAGTAGCTTTTTTTAAAGCTAAAATATTGCAGACGTTTTGTCCCATAAATCATGTTTCCATAGTCTTCCCTTAAATTAAGGCTTTCAAATGACTTTTTCCCTGGGGAGGGGAGGAGAGGAGAGCTGAGCTATTGCACTTGAATTGTAACTACATACAGCTATGGGGGGAAAGGAAGAAAAATAAATGTATAGACATTCTTGCACTTTGGCACAGATTTCTTTTTCGTGCTGGAAGCTCTCACCAGTGCTGTTTCTGTGTGAGATCTAGTCCTGGATGTCCCAGTTTGATTTTCAGCACAGGAACTGCCCGTGTACCTGCTGAAAGCCTGTTCACAACCCGGTCAAAACACTTCTCTGTGCTGATAATGTAGAAATTGCATCGTGCAGCACTGGTCTGAGAGTGCAGGACCCACAGTGGACTTAGTGCAGCCAGAATGGGGAGAAAAATCACTTTCACATGGACTGGAATCAACTATATTGCTATAGTTAAACTTTTTTGCATATGTGCCTGCTGTTCAATAGTAGAGGTTATAGCTGGGACTTCTGTTCCCAGTGTGTTCACCTGATAGATGCAGCTTGTTTATATGTGTATCTGCTGGGTTAATGCCTTTGGCTCTGGTCCTTCTGCAAGGTTCTATGAAGCTGCTAGATAAAAAAATATTATTTAAAGCTCTTCAAATAAGGAGTGTTCAAGGTGCCTTATTTATAGCAGGAAGCGAGCACAAAGTAGCAGCATCCAAATGAAGGGAAAGTGATGTTTGGTTGATACAGAAGATAGAAAAAGATCTTCAAATTTAAATTACAATTTGAAATCGCTTTTACCATATTCGGTATTAATATCTTAGCACAACTTTCTGCCATTTCATACCCCTCACTTCTACTCTGCTCCCTACCCTGCCTACGTTAGCGCATTTTTATGGCTTTAATTTAAACGAGTGCTTCTTGATATCTTGTTTACAAAGCTGCCAAAGTGAAAAATACCTGTATTATATGAGGCTTGCAGTTGCAGAGTTATCTCAGCACTACAACACAACATCATTATCCAGTCTGCCCCTTATCACTCAGCTGGTAATACGCACCACCGAGAGACTTGTGCCACTTTTGTTATAGCTCTGTGTGCTCGAGCTCCTTGGTGATATCTTGCTCTCCAACTTTGTAAAGATCTTCAGACCGGTGCAAGCCTGAGACTGTTCTTGAAAGATTAGATTCTTCCTAGTGATTTTTTTCTTCTTGCAGGGGTAGGTGAATCTTAGAAAGTAACTTTTTGATTTATTTTACCGTCTGATTTGTCAGCTGAATAAAAAGCGAGTTGGGAGCTGCTGAGGAGAGCTGTTTGCAGGGCTTGCAGAGGGGATGCCCGACGGGGAGCCTGCTGCATCCCTGCCCGCGGGGCTCCCGCCGCCCGCGCCCTCCTCCCGTTCCTCCTTCCCGTTTCCACGCTCGGCTCCTCGTTAGGAGATGCACTTACCCAGTCGTGTGGAGGCACCGGGAGGGGAGAGCACTCCAGGCTGCTATTTCACCCACCTCGTATAACGATCAGCTTGTCAACATTATGTATTATCTATTCAAAGACTTACCATTCTATGAATCTACTTTAGTTTGGTGGTAAACAACATGAAGATAACTCCGTCTCTTCTCATTTTATACCATATCTCATCTCTAAGCTGATGGGGTTTCCAGACAATAAACCAAGTATACTATCCTCATTATTTGGGCTGTTACTTGGTTTCTGCACATTCATTTAATCATTTATCCCAACAGATCATTAAGCTTCGTGCTCAGACAGAAGGAATTAATATTAGCGAAGAAGCCCTAAACCACCTGGGAGAAATTGGTACAAAAACAACCTTGAGGTAAGTTCAGCCCCGTTGGATTTTCATGGCAGGTATGACTGGGTCTAGAAGCACAGTAGGTTAATTCCTGCTTGGAAGTGTCTCCTGTAGTAACAAGTGATCTGTTAGAACAGTATTAAAGAATAGGGATAATTCCCGATAAATTCCCGATAATTCCGGATAAAGCCCGCTGAGCCCGGCTTGCTCCCTCCAGGTACGCCGTGCAGCTGCTCACCCCGGCCAACCTGCTGGCCAAGATCAACGGCAAGGACAGCATCGAGAAGGAGCACATCGAAGAAATAAATGAACTTTTCTACGATGCCAAATCCTCAGCAAAGATCTTGGCCGATCAACAGCAGAAGTACATGAAGTGAAAAGCTTTTCATAGGTTAGATGCTTTGAAGGGGCTTGCACCCCAAGGCAGACTTATTAGCTCAGTGAGAAATGTTCATGGTTTGTCTCTTTTGGGACCGAAAATATTTAAATGTGGGACTGCTTTGTCAGGACAGAGTTAGCTATCAGGTGTTCCTATATTTTTGTTGACCATAGGATGCTCCACGATGTCTGTAACACCTTGCTCTCCCTTTTCTGAGTATGTACGAAATGGATAGCTCTGGACCCATGAGTGCTGTTTGCCTTTAGATTTCATTACAGAAGTGCTCTAACTGAAGTTGATGCTTAAAAACAGTTTATTTTCATTATGAATTTTGTTTTGAAATAGTTTCCCTATATAGTTAAGATTTTTTTTTTGAATAAAAGTTTGTCTGAAGTACTTTATAATAAAATATTTCAAGAGTACCTAAAGCTTGCCTGTGTTTTTTCCTGGATGCCTAAAGAAACTGTCAAAATAAGTTGCAAATCATGCACTAAGGATGAACAAAGTGGATCTGTAATACAAAAACAGCTCTACAACTAAAGGAAGAACCAGTAAGGAAAGGTCCTGTAAGTGATTACTTACTTGTAGGTGGGGTTTTTTTCCTCCTGCAGGCATCCCTGGAGAATGCAGAAATAGGTAATAGTAAGTGGGAAGCCTCTTTGAAAATCTTTCTTCCTCAGTAATATTTTCCTTCCTTGGATTTTCATAAAGCAGGCTAAATAAAAATTGCTTTTGGACACAGCACTCTTTTCACCCCTCTCTGTTCTGGAGTGACTTTCTTGATCACCCAAGATCAAAAACATTTACAAAATAAATATTCATACAGAAAAATAAAAATTAACAGAAGGATAATGGGAAAAAAAATAACCCACTAAGTAAAAGTTGAAATCCTGCTCTGTATGAACCTTGTCTCACTCTCTTGTCCAGGAATCTTGCTTCCTTTTGTAAAGCATAAAGTGATTAAAAGCCTTCTAACGTTGAAAAACAAGATTTATGTAATCACATAAGTGAGTAAAGTACAATTTTTTAAAAAAACAAATGTAATAAAAGACCAAGCCTCTGTTCTGTATTGGCCCTTTTAGTCATCAGGGCCACCTTTATACACTTAATTAAATGAGCTTAATGCAAAAGGCAGGATAGGGAGGTAAGGAAAAAATTACCCGAGGAGCCCAGTTGTTCCTGCCTTTTCAGCAGTTAACCAAACAAGGGTGAGAATTAACAGTATTTTCAGCACTTCAAATCCACATTCATCAATGAGAAGCTTTTTAACACATCTCCACAAGGCTGCTGAGCCCCCTCCAAGTCCTTCGCTGAACCAGTCATCGGTGCTTGCGCCTGCCCTGGACCAGGCACCAGCCGTTCCCCGTCCCCTTCCTAAAGCACAGAAATTCCTTTGTTTTTCCTCTCACCCTTTCCTAGCAGTTTTTCATTCAGGAGTTGCTGGTGGTGAGGAACACAGGAACAAGCAGAGTCCTCCCGTGCGTGTTTATATATATTTCATTTCTGTGACTTGCCCTGTATCGAATGTAACAGAACTCCCTTGTTAAACCGTGTTTGGAGGCACCTGGGCTGGGGCATCAGCTCCTTGGGAAAACACTCCCGCTCCTCAGGACCTGTGTCCTCTCCCCCGGTGGTCCCGGCTTGTTTTCCTTGGGCTGTTTGTAAAAACCTTAATGATTTTTCATTTCCAAAAAATGTTCGCCTGACCAGCGGGGAAGGCGCAGAGCTGGGGGGAGCTGCGTGGTTTGGGTTGGGAATCCAGGGCTTTGGTCACTTGCCACCATTTCAGTGATGTAAAAACCCTGTCCCATTCTCCAAGGGAGATTTCAGTACCTGTCACGCAATTCTAATTGGCTTCTGTGCTTTAAACAAAACTTTCCCTACTGCAATGAAACAGTCACAGCAGAGATAATTAATAAATAATTTGGGGAGGGTGGGGGTGAGGTACCTTTCAATATTTCTGGCCACAGAAGCACAAACCTGCTTTCATACCTAAAAAGAGTTCTCCTGTTGCCTCCAATTATTAGAGAGGGTATTTACATCATCACAGCAATTTCCAGGCTGTTTCTAAAGCATATTTTTCCTTCTGCAAGGTTTGGCATGTTCTGTTTCAGTGCTGTGGCACAATGGAAGGAGACTCACCAAATTAACCTGCATGGTCAGAAGTTAACTTTATTTTTTCTTGTTGCAGCTTGGAAGTCCTTGGCAGTGATTAATGTAGTTATGTAAGAATATAAGTACCATTTTCCTTCAGTTTTCTGAAACATCCAACTGATGAATTTAGAAAGAAGTTTGAATAAGCCCTAAATAACTCTGAACGTCAGAGCTGTTCCAAGCCCCCATGAGTTGCTGGCACGGGCCCTTTGCTGATAAATCTGCTTGGTGCTCCCGCAGAGCAGGACACCAGCGCGATGCACCCGAGGCTGCTGCCTCCTGCCCTCCTGAAGTCTCAGGGCCACCGTTCCCGCTGCCTAAGGTAGGCAGGAGCGGGCAGAAACTCCCCTTCTCCTCTGGCAAAACACCTATTTCCTTACAAAATGCTCGGTATAAACAAACAAACAAAAACCAAGCTGTAAGGTTGGGAAGAAGCATCATCTCCTATGAGCACTAAAGTTAGGGCTGCTCTGTAAAACTCAAGTTGCGCAGCCTGCCAGACCCCCGATAGCAGGGAAGGACCTAGGGAGGAAAGGAGCAGCGTCAGCCTGACCCTGCGCTCGCGGCATGACTGATGGTACCTGTCACCGCACACTGACTGCAGGTGCAAAAGTGCAAAACAAACACACAAAACAGTGCAAAAACAAAACGAGATCTGAAAATACACATGTAGGGAGAAAGAAAGGAAAGGAGAAAAAAAAAACAGCAGCAGAAATGAATCTATTTTGGTATTCTTCCCAAAGCTGGGAAAATTAATCAGAGAGGCCCATGGCCTGCAGCCCTGTGGCAGAGAAGCAGCTGGTACCAAGCTACCCCCTGAAAGGGGCAACAATCCTTTGGATGGGCAACTGTAGACTTGGGTCTGCAAAACACTCCTGCGCAGGGTTATTAACACCCTTTAACAGGCTCCTGAATGACCCTCAGTTCTGTTACACAAGGACCTGGTGCAAATCAGCTCCTCAGACACCTTCGGTTCAGCGCCTGAGAACTTTTAACACTGCAGCAGCACCAAAGAGACGGCACCGCTTCCACGACGCGCACCACAACGCTCTCCCTAGGGTGACATCTCCGCAAGAGCCATAAAGTGTCCCCAAAAGACATAAAGCTGTGATATAAAAGGAGAATCCTTCTACGCTAAGTGGCGAGCCAATGTTTATCTGGCCTATTAAGTGACATCCAACAGACTTATTGGTGTCAAAGCTTTGCCCATGAAAATAGTCTTTCATATTACTGATAGAAATAGTTCTCCTGAAAGAATAACTGCGCCGTACACAGGGACTATTGATAAAGGATCTTTAAAAAATAGCAAGACTTAATTGACACAAAACTGTTCTTGGAGGTGGGAAGGCAGGTGCAGCAAAGAGCAGTCCCACCAGAGGAGGTTGGGTATTAATATTAAATGTGGAAAAACAAGCCATTATTTTAATTCTTTTCTTCCTATTTTCCACAAAGGTTGCACTTATTGCATTAATCTTCTAAGCGAAGTTTTTACGACCGATTGCCTGCACACTATGAGAAGTTTCTCCATCCATTACACCCAGGCAAACGGGCCCAGCTGTGTAGGAAAATATTTGTTACATCTTATCAGGGTGACACATAATCTAACAACAATTACAGCAAGCCCATATTTTGTACTATTTCGGTTTCAACGTGAAAAATAGTTCTCATATTAAACCTGGGGTGGGTGGGGGTTAGAGGAACCAGTTGAATATTCTAAGCTGGAGAAGCTGCGCGTCCCTTTCGGGGAGTGAGCGGTGCCAGGCTCGGATCCCGCTCCAAGGGGACACATCAATCCAGAGGACGTGCCCCCTGTGCCAGCGGCACTGCGTGTTCGCCACTGGGAAAGCAGCCCGAAAGTTGACTTCTCCTTATGCATATTAAAGTCCAAAACTACGGTGCCTTTACCCGCCTAGAGGGATCTAGAAGGCACTTGGCCTTTATGAGACTCCCGTCTCGCTGCCCCTCTCCAACGGATGGAGCCAAAGCGGGAGGATCAGGGATGCCCAGTGAGGAGGCTGCAAATGCAGCCAGGGCAGCGAACACCCCGCGTGCCCTTCAGCTCCTGCCCCCAGAGCCAGGAGAGGAGGGTGGTGGCATTTACTTGTCCCACAGCCCCAGCCACATCCAGGACACACGGGAGGGCTCAAGGGCTCTGCTTGTTGCCGGGGTGTGAGGAGGATGAGCCCAGCGCAGCCCGCAGCAGCGGCAGTGCCGGGGCTGTGCGATGGTCTGCAGCGCTTTGAGAAGTCACCAGAGCCATGGGGTTAATGTTGGGAAGCGACTACAGCAGGAGGCGACAGACTGAGCCATTTCCACAGTGCAAATTCAGCTGTGTTGAGTAGTTTCCCCATTTCATTAAGGTGTTTGCAGACAGGACCAAATCGCTCATAATCATCTTAGTGGAATGGTGCTACAGCAGCCAGTTCATAATCTGATTTCTTTAATGTGATTAAGAGACAATTTGATCCCATCTGCAAAAGCAATCAAAACCCTGCAACATATCTGTGCTCTGCCATAGCCATAAATATGATGCAAACACACCCTCATGTCATGCTTACATACGTCTTGCCTAGGTGACAACCTCTCTGCACCTCTCTGGTCAGACTACACGCAGTCCGTGCAATACTTTAAGTTTGCAGGAGATTAACCACAGTGCAAGAAAGCACTTGGAAATCCACTTTGTTTTACGACTTGAGAGATTTATGGTATGACCTGGGCCTCGGTTCAGCCACACTGTTACAAAACCTGTCCCAATTGCACGGAGGTTACCGCGGATCTGGGCAGACGCGAGGATGGACTTTGTCCATTTCTGAGTGAAGCTGTTGGGCAAAACCGAGTGTTACAACCTCACCACGGCACTCAGAGCCGGCCTTGCTGAGCCCAGATGCACGAGTTCAGTCCCTTGAAAGTCTGGGTAGCAAAGACAGAGGCTGCTTCCTTAGACGACAACTTTCAAGCACCAATTGCTCCAGGCCCTTATGATCACAGGCATTTTAGAGTTAGAAACATT